TATGATCCTTTCACTGGAATAAATCAAAGCCATTAGTATGACAACATACTGAGTCCTCTGAATCCTCCTAACAAATCATTGAGCCTGGGGGTGGTCTTCAGGACCCCCAACAAAATGCATGACATTAATAATCATTAAGGATCTGTATATCACAACCATAATGAGACTCCTCTCATATTCATTAGAATGCTATCGGTCAACATTGTTGCCAAGGATGTGAATAAAGTGGAACTCTCATACATTCCTGATAAGAGTGTAAAATGGTACAGCTGCTTTAGAAAATAGTCTGACAATTTCTTAAAAAGTTAAACATATACTTACCAGATGACCCAGCAATTCCACTCATAGGTATTTACCCAAAAGATATGAAACATATGTCCACACAAAAGCTTTAACATGAACATTCATAAAAGCATTATTCCTAATAGCATAAAAACTGGAAATAATCCCAATTTCCATTAGCTGGTGAATGAACAGATGAAATACAGTAGTGTATGGAATACTACTCAGCAAAAATAATTGGAATTTTAATATATGCTACAATATGGATGAACCTCAAAAACTTTATGCTAAGAGAAAGCAGCAAATTTTTTTAACTATATATTGTATGATTCCACTTACATAAAATTTCTAAAGAAGGCAAATTGATTTTGACAGAAAGTAGAACAGTGACTGCCTAGGTCTCCGGGCGGGAGCAGAGACTGGTGGCAAACAAAGACAAGGGAGCTTTTTTTATTTTTTAATATATTTTTATTGATTTCAGACAGGAAGGGAGAGGGACAGAGAGATAGAAACCTCAATGATGAGAGAGAATCAGTGATCGGCTGCCTACACGCCCCATACTGGGAATCCAGCAGGCAACCCAGGTATGTGCCCCTAACCAGCATTGAAGCTGGGACCCTTCAGTTCGCAGGCCAATGCTCTATCCACTGAGCCAAACCAGCTAGGGCAGGAACTTTTGGGGGTGGCAGAAATAGTCTAAAACTGAGCTGTAGTAATGGGATATACACTTATATACGTAGATGGATTTTATAGTGTGCAAATTATGCCTCAATAAAACATTTTTAAGTTAAAATTCCTTGCAAATAGTACCCCTCGGTATCATTATCAAAATATCATTTAGTTGTGAATAATTTGTCAAGATTTCTCTCATTTCCAAAAAAAGGTGGTAGGTTGAACATATGAATTTATCTTTCTCCAAAATTCCATTAAAATGAGAGTAATGGGATGAGAGTGTAAGGACAAAGTCAGGATATGAGATAATAACATCAAATTTGGGGAAGCAGAAAAGCACAAGGAAGAATGCTATTCACTTAGCTGACATAAGAAAGCTAAATCCTGAGCCAGCAGTAGGAAAGCCAGAAAGAAGCATTATTTTTGCCACAGAACCTCCTGAATATTTATGAATTGGCAACATCAGTGGCATAAAGATTGTTTGAAGGATTGTTTCAAACTGATTTTATGAGGCCAGCATCACCTTGATAGCAAAGCCAGATAGGTACGACAAAAAGAAAAGAAAAAAGGAAATTAACAGATACAAAAGTCCATAATAAAATAGTAACAAACCAAATTTAACAACACATCAAAAAGATTATACACCACAACCAACTGCAATTTATCCCTAGAGTGCAATGTTGTTTTAATGTATTCAAATCAATGTGATTTACCACATTAACAGACTGAAAAATAAAAACCGGTGCAGCCTCTGTGACAAATAATATGGTGTTTCCTTAAAAAATTAAAAATATAGTGCAGTGAAGGTCTGGGGGTGAAGGGTCTGGTGTGGGGTAAAGAGAGTCAACGGGGAATAAAACGGGACATCTGAAATACTTTTGACAATAAAAACAACTTTTTAAAAAAATTAAATAGAACTACCATATGACTCAGCAATCCCACTTCTAGGCATATATTCAAAGAAAATAAAATCACTATCTTAAAAAGATATGTGTAACACCCTCCCCCCACCCCCCGTGATCACTGCAGGATTATTTATAACTAAAGGCCCAGTGCATGAAATTCGTGCATGGGTAGGGTCCCTAGCAGCTGCTGACTGCTGGCCTGGGCCTCCCTTCCCTGGTGGTCAGCATACATCATGGCAAGTGATCGAATTCCTGGCTGGTTGAACTCCCGAGGAGACACTTTGCATATTAGGCTTTTATAGAGAGATAGTCAAGATACAGAAACAATGCAAATGTTCACAGATGAATGGAGAAGAAAATGTGACAGATAATTTTTCAGTCATAAAAAGAAAAGAAATCCTGCCATTAGCAACAACAGGGATGAATCTAGAAGGCATTATGCTAAGGAAATAAGTCAGACAGAGAAAGACAAATACTGTATGATCTCACTAATAGTGGAACCTAAAAAATAAAATAAAAAACTCATTAGCACAGAAAAAAGATTGGTGATTGCCAGAGGTAGAGGTTGGGGAGTGAGTAAAATGAGTGGAGATGGTCAAAAGTACAAACTTCCACCCTGGCCAGTTTGACTCAGTGGGTAAAGTGTCGGCCTGCGGACCAAAGGGTCTTGAATTCAATTCTGGTCAGGGGCACGTACCTCGGTTGCAGGCTCCTCCACAACCTGGGCCCTGCCAGGCCATGTGCAGGAGGCAACCAATCCATGTGTTTCTCTCATATTAGTGTTTCTCTCTGTCTTTCCCGCTCTCTTCCACTCTCTCTAAAAATCAATGGAAAAATATACTTGGATGAGAATTACAAAATAATAATAATATTAAAAGAAAAGGTATGAACTTCCACTTAAAGATAAGTTCTAAGAATGTAATGTACTACTTGGTGGTCATAGTTAACAATACTGCATTGTACATTTGAAATTTGCTAAGAGTAGACCTAAAAATTCTCATCATAAGAAAAATTTTAAATATGTTGAGGTCAGGGGTGTTAACTAAACTTATTGTAGTAGTTATTTGGCTATATATAAAATCATTATGGTGTACACCTAAAATAAATGCAATGTTAAATGTCAACTGTATCAATAAAACTGGGGGGAAACGTCGCTATAATCCAACATAAATACTAGAAGAATTTAAATAGCTCAAAAGCTAAAAATAAAAAATGTTCAACCTGCCGAAACCGGTTTGGCTCAGTGGATAGAGCGTCCGCCTTCGGACTGAAGGGTCCCGGGTTCGATTCCGGTCAAGGGCATGTACCTGGGTTGTGGGCACATCTCAGTAGGAGACGTGCAGGAGGCAGCTGATCGATGTTTCTCTCTCATCGATGTTTCTAGCTCTCTATCTCTCTCCCTTCCTCTCTGTA